CTTAAATCGGAAGGGAGCTGCTTCTCTGTGGTCTTGACAAGCCCTGCCTGGGCTCCGCCGGCTCAGTAATAACTGAGTGACCTTTTCTTTGGCTGTATTATGTCTGGCTGGGAAGGGATTGCATTTTGCAGCTGAGAGCCGGAGCTTCCTTCAGCTCGGCTCCTCGCGTGCTGCTGGGGTAAGTTGTCTTGAGCCAGGACGGAGAGAGACAGCCTCGGACTGCAGTTGCCTAAAAGGAGGACACCTGTGGCTCAGATGTGGTCAACACCATTACTTGGCGGATCCTTGAGGACCTCATTATTTTAAACTTAAAAAATAGAGATTTCCCTCCCCCTCTTTTTTTTTTTTCAAACAATGCTTCTTTTTGACCTTTCCCAAGGAGAAGCCCTACAAAGCAGCCACTGTGCTTTCTGAACGGCCTCCCCCTGTATCGCTTAATTGAGAAGGTAAGTGCAGCAACTGTGTACACACGCGTCGGCTTATTTGTGGTGTGTGTGTCTGCGGGTGCGCGCGTGCGTGTGCGGATGTGGGTATTTTTTTCTTCCCCAGCCTCTCCTAATGAGGCATAAACTGGAGCTGCAGCCCAGCTCCGCACTGCAACTTTCACTCGGGCTGCAGCTCTGCGGAGACGGTTTTGTTTAAATCATGTGAGGCTTCATTATTTTTATGATGAGACATGAAATAGATGCAGGCGGAAGATGTTGATGGAAGGAGGGAGAGCGGCTGCGGCGCGGAATGTCTCAAGTACGACTCGAGTAGATAATAGTTAAAGTTCAGGATGAGCCGCCGCATTTCCACACCCCTGACTCCCGGGGAGAGAGGGGCAGGGAGAGTTGGAAATTAGGAGAGGTTCGCTCTGGCCTGGCCCATTGGAAGGCAAGTCAGCGCTTAGGTGGGTTCCGGACCCACTCAGTGTTACTTGCTGGAATCCACAGCCCCCCTCCCTCAAGAGTTGAAATTACAATCTTTTGGTTCTTGTCCACACTTCTGCCTCTCCCCACTTTTCCATAATAAAATGTTCCTGCGAGATGGAAAAGTGACTATTTGCGGGGGGGGGGGGGAAGTGGCCACAAGAGAGGTTCCGTGGAACAAGGTGCCTATGTCCTACGAGGCTGAGATTCAAACTGATGCAGCACATTTTTACGGGGGCTACCCAGATTGCTGTTATGAAATACAAGTCAGATTTATGATCTTTTTCATATTGAACATGATATGCTATGCTAACGCTGCATGTGACAGTTTAATCAAATCCATTTGTTACCACGAAGCTAAAAGGGGCCGCTGGGATTTTAGGATTACGGGCAGAGTTAGGGAAGCATGTGGCTTTGTCATTCGCCATCATTTTGCACACTGCCACACTGCGAGGGGCTCTGTGTGTGCGCTCTGTCTCGTCTGGCCGCCCTCATCCCTTCCCCCACCCCCTGCCGCCACTCCGACCCGCTCCCAAAGTGGCTTCACAATAGTCGGTCCTCGGCGGTGTAGGCTGCGCACCAGGTCCACACTTGAGCTAAATCCAGGAGAGCCCCTTCCGCTTCTACCTTAGGCTTGGTGCTCAATGCGAAGCTGCTGCAACTCAGGCACGCCTAAGTCAACTCATGCAGAAAAAGGAGAAAAGTTTTGGTAAGGTTACAATCTATCATAGATGCACTTTGCCGGCGCTCGGCACTCTTGGCTGCTCAAAAGCTTTCCTGCTCTTCTGCTGCTTTTGTGTCTTTTTAAAAGATCCGAAATATTGTTGTAACTGCTTTGAAAGACTGCTGCTTAAACCAATTAATCTTGCTAGGTGCAACAAATACTGCTACATTCTTTGCAAATCATCCCTGTGTGGCTGCAAAGACACAACCACAAAAGGCTAGAGCATAAACTCCGCCAGGCATTCTTTGTTAGAGTGTATGTATGTTTCTTATTTTTATTATTATTATTATTATTTTTTTTTTTTTTGCATGTGAGCTGCATCAAAATTGAACTCAGTCTTGCAAATCTCTTGTTGGCCTTTGCCAAGCACTAGCACTTTGCTGCCATGGTAACTGTAATTAAACTGATAAGAGTGGAAAAATGTCAGTATCTCTGAGCCTTGCAGCTGCATTGGAGAAAAAGGGAATCAAATTGGTTCCCAGCTCCATTGCTCAAAAAGGGGAGGGGGTGGTGGAAGGATGGGGAGGGGGTTGGGAGTTGAAGGGGCAGAACAGAGTTAAGCAGCTCCAGCGCCTGAGATCTGGGGACATCTATTTGCATTGTTGTCCCTTAGGGGGCTGCAGCCTGTAGGGATGCTCTGGGCCAGTGAACAGAGAGAAACAAGCTTTTAGGCCAAAACCAGTTCTCCAGCCGGGTCTGGGGGTTGGGGAGAGGATGAAGATGGGCAGGAGGAGAGAAAATCTTTTGTTTGGTACCTCTTGGCAATCGAACGGCCACGTTGGCCAAATTCTTTTAATCTGTGTCACTGCTCCCAGCTGCAGAACCTGCATTCCCATTTTAGCATCTTCCTGAGGCACCTCATCGCTGCCAACCCCCTTTATGTATTCCCTCTTCCTGTTCCTTCTCCCAAATTGTTCTCTGTGAATCTTCCGACGGGGACAAAATGTTTTCCATTCACTATGTGTAGTTAGTCCAAAAATATAAAAGACTGTGTCTAAGTGCTGCAAATCTTTGATTATGATTATTTTTTTTTAAGCCCCTGTGCGTTGTGGAGTTGTGGTTACTTTGTTGTGTGAACTACTGAAGCTGAGCCTGCGCGGATGAATGGCACCGAACAAGGGAGCATAATGGAGGCAATCAACCGTTAGGCCGCCTCACAATGCGATCCAGGCAATTAAAAGCTCACCAGAGTTTAAATGAAATGGTTCTACTTATTTCTGCACACCACACTGCACAGGCGATTATTTATGTCTTTTTTTTTAATTATGATTTCCCTTAAACTGTCAAATAACTCAGAATGGCAGGGTCTCAGAGGCAATAAGAATTTCCCTCAGAACAATTTACATGCCAATCTAAAACTAGTTATGAGTCCTGATGTGCTATGAGCAACTTGTGAAATGTTTCTCAGCTCTGAACACATAACTCTACCCAGTCGTGCTCTTCTGGTTGGTGAGGGGGGCTGCTGATGCTTTGTGCCTTTTAGGTACATGGCAATGTGGTGACTACTAAATAGTTCTTTTTCTACAACTGTTAACTTGCATCCTATTGAAAAGATTTCCTCTCCAAGAGAAATGTGATGATGTTCTCTAAAAGAAGGCACCAGGATGGAGTGCAAAATATCAAACTCCTTCAAGCCCAAGGCCAAACAGAAAGTAAGAGTTTCAAATATTAATTGGCCTCTGAGTGCTAAATTAAAATGTCAACACAACAAAAACATTTTGTGAAGACAAGCAGGGTAGTGTTACTTGTGCCAAATGTTGGTATTCCCTGTCTTGGTTGCAAAGTGTTTTGAATAAAGATAACTGACCTTCTACGCTTGATGGTAGTAACTGAACTGAGGAAAATATAGCTGAGCTACAACTGAAAAGGATTTTAAAATTTCTTTCAGCTTTGTGATGTGAAAAAATAATAGCCTTATAAATTGGCTAATCAGAATAGCCACTCATATCTCTTGATGTCTTCAATAGCAAAATACAGAATGCCATTTCGTAAATCAAAATTTCCCCCTCCCCCCAGGTATATGGTTAAGAGGCACTTGGATATGTTCTGTACTGTAATTAATACGATTTATTCCTTGTGGAACCTTGCTAGAAGACGGTAACTAGTTCTGATCAAAGAAACTTCATTTGTTAGAAGTTCTAGAGAGTGAGATTTAGCAGAGCCATCAAGGGTTATGATTAATCTACACTAGACCCTCAGCTCCTTCAAAGAAAAGGAACAGAAAGCAGGCTATAGGAATACCACCTGCTCTTCGGTACAACTCCAGCCGCTAGTCTGCAGCTCCAGCTACCACGGCTCTGCATATCATGCAGAAAGAACAGCCACCCTGCTTTCTTCCCCGCCATACCCTCTTCCATTACTCTGCCAGAGAAGTTCTTTTCTAATGTAAGTTCAGCATCATAACGATGTTATGCGCAATCCATGTGTTATTTGTAACGAGAAAAGTTACTCAGCTCTGAGAGTACAGTGCCTGGGTGTCTCTTATCAATGTGATGAAAAAAGAAAAAAAGATTGTGGAGGTAATGGACGTGAAGCCTTCATCAGAAGGCATCAGCGAAACTAAAGGAGGGTTAGCTCCTTGGGAGTAGGGAAATACTCTAAGATCATAGCTTGGCTTTTCTTTTCTTGAAATTGTTTCAAGTGCATCCACACTTGGTGTTTTGTATAGTTTAAAAGTTTCTGCGTAGGAGAGGAAGCATCCTATAGGAGTGGAATCTCTGGACTGTAAGAAGACCAACAAATCTAGTACTTCACTGTCATTCAGTTTTGAACGAGTCCTTAAACTCTGTTAGGCCTCTGCATCACAATTTGTAAAATGAGGGAGTTAGGAATCGATGATATCTACAGTATTTTATAGCGCTTAGAATGAGTTACTTGATAAATATGAAGTTCTGAATAGTTGGTCCAGCTTTTTTTTTTTTTTAAGCTGGGTGTTTGACACTTGGGAAAGAAGAAGAAACTCAAAGGGGAATAGCCTTTCATTGAAAAAATTTCAGTTCAGTTGTAAAACCTACAGAACTCAGCTAGACTCCTTATATATGATGGAGATATATGTCTAAAATACATAAACATCCTATGTCTAGTGCACTATAGATATATGCATGTAATATATTTATGTACATATGTTTATTTAATTTAAATATATTTAGATTTTACCTTCTGTTGTTTTTTCTTTCCCTTATAAAATAAATAAGTGCATGTTTATGGTAATAAATTAATCCTGTACTTTAGTTTTCTATCAAAGCATGTAGTCTACAGTGAGGTAAGCTGCCATTAACAGAGGCACCGACTGAAGTTTTTGTGAGTATAGATTCATTTTAAAAATTTTAACATAATGAATAATTTTGAAATAATCAAGAGTACAGAAGGAAGTATTTGGATGCAAACAAGCAATATCGTACTGGTGAGCTTTTTGGATGACTGTACTGTGTATTTAACTATAAACAAGCCCACTGCTAAGTCAGGTTAGTGTAATCCCAGAACGGTGCCCTCTCTTCCACCATCAAGCACATAGCAAGCGAATTTCTCACCAATAAAGAAAAACTCATTCTTGACTCTCATAGGCTGTACACAGACTCATTTGTTAAATAGTTTCTTTAAGATTGTTAGCCATTCACTCACATTTTCTTCCCAAAGGAACCACCCTATGTAGAGAATAGGGGACCCTACAAAATTATTTAATGTTGCTTAACTTGGTGTATACAATGCCAACTCCCTATATACAAAAAGAATGTGTTGTTTTCACCACTTTGTATGTGTGACTTTCTAGATGATTTAATAAGGACCGTCTAATGTTTGATTGAGCCTTTTGTTTCCAGAACTGAGCGTGATTTGGTATGCCCTTACAGAAGAAAGTCTAACACTCCTCGAGAAATGCAGCATTAAGTAGGAAACTTGTGTAAGGTCTTTTGGCCTCTTCTGATCCCTTCTTGTAGTCCCAGCTCTCTTTCTTGTTTTTGTCTTCCTTTAGGTATACAAATGCTCTCAGTCCAGCCAGACACCAAGCCGAAAGGTTGTGCTGGCTGCAACCGAAAGATCAAGGACCGGTATCTTCTAAAGGCACTGGACAAATACTGGCATGAAGACTGCTTGAAGTGTGCCTGCTGTGACTGTCGTTTGGGAGAGGTGGGCTCCACCCTGTACACTAAAGCTAATCTTATCCTTTGTCGCAGAGACTATCTGAGGTAGGAATTATCCTTGCACACCAGTGATGACTGGATTCCTTTTAAAATACTTTTGTAAGTGTATTTTTTGGGGATTTCATTTCTTTATGGCTAGCTTATATCCCTGAAAGATGTTGACCTGTCAGCCTTCAAAATGTCGCCAGGTTCCTCAGATGCAAATTCTTGCTTTAAGGAATGGCCAAGAAAGCCTCATATCTAAAATGTTCCCATTTGGCCAGCGTGGATGCTCAGATTTAGAAATAGGTGATTCCACTGCCCAGAAGGAAACCACCAGTTCATGGCAAGGATGTATTTGGTGGTAGAAATCAGCATGTAAGTGTTGTATTACACCCCACAGACAAGGTAGGCTGAGCTTGACCCCAAGAGTTACTCAGCTATCTTCTGTTTCTGATTTGTCAAAGAAAGGCAGTTTGAAATTAGCTGGTATTTATTAGCATGGTTATTATACAGTTTTGAAAACTTTCTCCAAGTGTGAATACATCCCCCCACCCTCAGTGGCATTCCAAGTGGCCATCACAAAGACATCACTGAGCATTAACAGCCTCAGACTTGCCAGTAGCGTTAAGGAAATGAACACAGTAAAGATCTCCATCATTATGGGGAGATGATAGCCACCCTCTAAACTGTAAACATCTGAACAGTTTGATGACAATTCATATGCTCTTGCTTAAAAAACCATGAAGCCCACTAAACTTGTTTCCCAGCATTTAGCACTCAACACATGAACTTCTATTTAAGAAAAATTATTTTGCTTTTCAGGGAACTTTGTGATTTGATTCAGCTGCAAATTACGTATATTAATAAAGTAGGACCTATCAAATTAGAGAAATGATATATGGCATCATTTGGGTTTTCATATTTAATATAATTAATCATTTTTCTAGCCTGACATTAAGCGATTTATTTTGAATTTTTTTCCTTTATGACACAAAATTTATCAGTCAGCCCTAGCTCCTTAACCATCTTGGTCATTTGGAGAAGTGTTTTCTAGGGAATCTGGTGCTTCCCTGTATATAATTCAGTTATTTCTTGGTCTGATTTAATCTTTATCTAAAAATATTTATCATTTGATTAGAGGTAGTTTAAAAGGGTGAATCCAGGACTGTTTATCAGATTCTACTCTTTCCCCCTCATAGGACTGCCTCATCTTACAGCCTCCTGGCTAATTATGACCACTTGTTACTAGTCCTCTGTGTTCCAAGGGCACAAAATACATGCAGGGTGCCAACAATGGGAAGTGACTCTATAGTCAGGATTTCCCTTATTGTGGTGGCACAACTAATCAGAATTAACTTATTCCATGAATTCTCTTAGAACTTCAGTCTTTGAACTTTTTCTTTGAAATAAAAAATTTTTTCCTCTTCTCATTGTGAATTAGAGCCTCATTTCCACATAAAGCATTTGCATTTGCTTTCAGTGGTTTAACAATGCTTCCTAGTTTTGCTTTATCTTCACTAACCAATAGTCATGGCTTTTCTGACTCTTTTTTTGACTTTTACATCTGTTTACAACTGCAGTGTGTCAAGTGGATTTATGTAACAACGATTCCAAAACAAGGAGTTTATATAGTCTGTGCGAGATTAAGGTGTTCTAATAAGCAATAAAGATAAAAATTAAGCAAGAGTTAAAGTATGTTGACATAGCTGGATTTTAAAAATTTATACTTGGCCAATGAACTACCTGTATCGTGAGTTAAACTGTTTTTGCAGTTGTGAATAGAGGAGCAAGCACAGAAAGAAATCTTAGACTTGTTTTGTGTTATTCTTCTTTATGGTAATAAAAATATGATGTTAAACTGCTATTTGATAGTCTCAAGTAAGTGTTTTGTTGAAAACGATTTATCAAAACAGTTTCCGTATCAGAAATGCTTATCTTTCTCTAAGATGGATTTTTTTTTTTGTAACATAACTTAGTTAATTTCCGATAGATTCGAACTTCTAATGTTCGTTAACTTGTTAAAGAAAAAAATCATACCCTTTCAATCAAAACCCTGGTCCTGATTGCCAATATATTCATTTCTCAGCGTATAATTTCCTCTTAAATTGGTCATTAAATGGCCAGTTGTTATGTTAACAGCCTAAGGATTGTTAACATTTCAAACTAAGTTGTTAACAGCAAGCTTGTTCCTGTATTTAAACTGAAGGTTTGTTGTATATAATGTGACTTCTTTGGCAGGGAGTAATTCATCAATACTTAAAAATTGTAGCGGTGAAATGGGGGATTGGAATGTGTGTAAAACACTGTGTTATGTGTTATGTGTTATAGATTATGCTGCAGATGTGGTATGTAGTTTTATGTAAGAAGTGTGTATCAGTGAAATTGTGTCGATGTTCAGCAACATGTCTCTTATTGGAAATTTAATAGTCTAATTCTGCATGTCAGACAGACAAATACAATTAGGCAAACTTTATTTATAAATTAATTTCTTTAAATGGTATAGTCATTCAAAATTGTTTATTGGATGCCTGCTGTGTGAGAGGCAAAACTTTAGGTAATAGACGAAATTAAGAAAAATAAAGGTGTACCTAAAATTGTTACTATCTAATTGTTTATTAATTACACAAAATCTGTAATATGATCGGTGAACAAGTAATATTCCGTGGCTGTCTTCTAGAGCTTTGAAAATAATTTTTCTCATTTCCCTTAGTTCACATTTCCTTTTTGTATTTTGTATTTTGCACAGTCAGCTTAACCATTTAAATCCAATTCACAAGTGGTTTTGTTTTGTTTTTGGTGTTTGGATAGTGTGTAATTTCTTTAAGACACTAGATAAGCCATAAATAACTTACAGGTTTGTATTTCTCTGTCTAAATTAGTAGGCATCAGTAAGTAAGAATACGGAAAATGATAAAGAAAAAACTAGTTTTATCTGTATCTTTACTGGTAAAGTATTAATTGTAGATATTATCTTGGGCCAGATAATTTTTTCGTATCTAGAGAAGAGTGAAATATTTTTGCCAATTGTAATTAACTTCCTAATTAACTTCTCCTTCCAAAAAAGAAGACAAAAAACACTTCTAATGCTGAACAATGAGTCTTGAAGTTCTAACATTTTATTTTGCATTACTTTGAGTAATGATAGTGATGACATGTTTTTTCAAATTCTTTGAATAATGAATATAAGAATTTAAATCATAAGATACTTTCCTAGAGTTATAGAAACTGTTATTATGGTAAATATGATTTCTCTCAGATTTTTTTCTTCTTTGTGGCACAATTAGCTATACCTAAGAAAAAGAAAGATGATTTTACCATTTATATACTAAGTTCCAGATCTTAACAATTCATTTTCCATAACAGGGCTGGTATAATAGCCTTTATTTTTCTATAGTATATACAATGCACATACCTGATGAGAGAGAATCTGCCAGTTTGTAGGATTATTCTCTGCCTTTGGAAATTCATTAGATAAAGGAACAGAAGGATTGACTTTTAAAAGTTCCCCTGTTAACACGCTTTCTGCCTTAAACTAAGAAGCCAATCTGCCCATCAATATTTATATGCCAAGACCTAGAAATGTGTATGTTAAAATACATTTTTTAACATGTATCCAACACATTTGTAACTTTTTTATTTTTAAAGTTGGAACTGATGACAAATTAGGCAAGGGAAGCATCTTTATACCTTGAACTAGAGCTTACAACTAATAGAATACCCAAAGTAAATTAATAATTATTGTGTAAATACAACAGTTTTAGTAACGATGTTTACGGGACTCTAGGCACAGCTGATCTATCTATCATCCTTGTTTCGGTTTGGAAAATATGAAAAAGGTAGTTAATGTATAATCGGAGTTTTAGAATTAAAATTTTGTGGCAAGTGTTAAGAAGTCAGAACCAGGAGAAATAACAAACTACTTTCTTTTCAACTTGGAGGCAGTAAAGAATATCAGAATTTACCACTCAAGAGTTAGGGCAATTTTTGCTTGTTTTTTTGTTAAGCCTAAAACTTCTTGTATATTTTAAGCATCAAGTCTCTGTAGGCTGGATCTTGTATCTCTGAATGGAGTCTCAGCAGAGAATGTATTCAAAGCCCTTTGCTCTGATATATAGCATGGAAGCTGCTTATATAGCTCTTCCTGTATGAGAAGCCGAAAATGCCTTATATAAAATTTAATGTAATTTGCCATTTTTATATCTGAGAATGATTTGTTTAAAATGAAACTGCTGGGAGAGAATGATGCTTTGTGTGCCACCATAGTTGACAATTAAGAAAAAGGATTCGAAACTTATGCTCACTACAAATTTTACATGCTTTAATATAGTAATATAATAACTTTCAAATTGAAAATTAAAATTAAATGCTACATAGAGTATTAATCTGGCTATAACTCTGTTTCACACTAATCAAATCTGGTGCCTCTAAATTTTTATATAAGGTTAAATTATATTAGTACATAATTACAACTTTAAAAGTCAGCACAAATGTGTTGTTTATTTTATCTGACAACTCACTGCATAGGTACTTTTTTTGTGTTGAATGAAGTGTTTATTCTTTTTTTCCCTTCATTGTTCTCTTTTTAATATTAGGCAGTTGAAAGTAACTTCCCCAGCAATCACTGCATTATTATTATCTGAACAATCACTTTTTATTGTTGTAAATTCTGAAAATTTAAGCTTTTACATTGAATTAAACTCCTCCCAAATGAACTTTTTTTCTACAAGCTTCATTTGAGTTTTCTTAACACTTCATTATAATCATAATTTTTATCATATTTAAATGTGTAACCTAATCTTAGTATTATGAAATATTTTAACATATGAGTGTATTAAACTCCACGGTCCATTGAAAATATTGTTATATTCCTTGTAAATGATCTTACCTTACTTATAGCTTTATAAGAAGCTGTAATTTTAAGTCTACTTTTTTGTTTTATCATAGGAAAACATTATTGAATTTTATTTCAAACATTTTAGACTATATACTATTCAAGGACCAGTACAAATCAGGATTGATCATTTTGTTTTGTGCAATACTTTGAGAGAGTGCCTCTCATTTTA